AATATTTAAAGTGGTTGACAAAGGTACCTGTGATACGGTTTCCTACATAAGAATTGTATCTCACAGATTCCTTATACTTCGGTGTACTCCCAGAGTCCAGAGACTACAATGGGAGTATGGAAGTACAATGGGAGCACGGGAGCACGTGTTTTCCTCCTTGCTGGGCTCTCATGTACTCCCATTGTACTTCCGGAGTCCAGGGAGTACAACGGAAGTACGGGAGTACAGCGGAGTATAGAGAGTACTGGAGTACATGGTGTTGTTCTTGAGAAATAGGAATATCTAAAGTGGTTGACGAAGGTATCTATGATACGGTCTCCTACATAAGAATTGTATCTCACACACTCCTTGTACTTCGGTGTACTCCCGGAGTCCAGAGAGTACAATGGAACTACGGGAGTACAGTGGAGTACATGGAGTACGGGAGTACGTGATTTCTCCCTTGCTTTCACGTTACAGTGTTAAAGTGTTAAAGTATGTTACTTTAACTTTGGCTTTTACGTTAAAGTTAACGTTAAACTCCCACTCGTATGTTGGACTCCCTGTACTCCCATGTACTCCCGGAGTCCAGAGAGTACAATGGCAGTACGGGAGTACAATGGGAGTACGGGAGTACGTGTTTTCCCCCTTGTTTTGAATTCATAGTTCTGTTTATAGACATGAGTCCTACAAATCTGAAAGTTTAATTCCATTACGATAAAGTCAATGTAAAGTCTTGCACACTCTCGCAAGAAGCATCCTATTTTTATGAAATTTTTTTCAAAGTAAACCTGATTGTCCTGGCGGTGGTGATGAATCACCATTATGTAATAATGATCAATGTTCAATTGATAATGGTGGCTGTAGTCATACATGTCATCGATCACCATTTGGTGCTTTATGTCTTTGTCAACCCGGCTTTCATGTACAAAATACAACAAATTATAAAAAATGTGAAGGTAACAACATTTATTTTTTAAATAAAAAGAAATAATTTAATATTAATGTTTGATGATCGATTAGATATCAATGAATGTATAGAAAATCCAAATGCATGTCATCAATATTGTTTAAATACAAATGGAAGTTTTATGTGTTCATGTGCTGAAGGTTTTGTATTGCAATCAGATGGACATAGTTGTAAGATTATCAGTAAGTCTTCAATGAATAAATATTTTATAAGATTTTTCAGTTCGAATAGAGAAAGAAGAAAAATAAAAGATGTGTTGATTATCAAATTTTGATCGAGTTCTCTTAGTTTGGGATCTGTAAAACGGTTCCGGTAAATCTTTTTGCTCTGAGGTTTTACCTACGGGCAAGTTTATTTGTCAATAGAATGCTGTGAAAATTTCAGCTTGTGAAAAAAGACTTGTCCATTGCGGGGTCGTATATTTCACTAGAGCCTACTTTGTAAAAAGAGTCTGAATTTAAAAGCTATTAATTCCTTGAAAACGTTTCTTCGTAATATTGGCACCGAAAAAAGCGATCTTTCAGACTAAATTTTATTAATTTTCATACGTAGTTTTACCAAAGCGAAAAACATATGAACTTACACTTCAGATTTGTAGTTTTGTAAAACTTGATCAGTATTGAACAAGCCGTAAATAAATTTTTTTGGCTTTTTTCTAAGAATTTTGATTCAATAAGCCTTGATTAGTCGTAAAACTACTTATTTAAAAACTAATACTTTTCTCGAGTATGTCGGTATTTTTTAAACAATATATATATATATAATTCTTATACAGATAGTGAAAATTTCTGATATCTTTAGATGAAACTGGTATTCGTTTATTAACTACACGTCAATCAATAATGGAATGGTTTTCACCAACACTACGAACTTATGGTCAAATTAATCTTGGTCCCAATATGCGTTATATAATTGCATTTGATATTGATAATCGAACAAATACATATTTCTGGTCTGATTTAGTAACAAACATAATCTATAGTCGAACAGAGCGAGCAAATAACTATACTAAAGTAAATAAATTCATTGAAAAACCTATCATTTATATAATATTTTATTGATTTAGCTTATTACAAGTGGTAATAGTTTTATAGCTGATATGGCATTTGATTGGATTGGACGTAATTTATATTGGACAGATTATATGCTTGAACATGTTGAAGTGTCAACAATGGATGGTCGTTATCGTCGAATATTATTTCATGAAAATTTAACAAATCCATGGTCAATTGCTGTTGATCCACGTGCTGGCTTACGATATTTATTTTTAACTGATTGGGGTAAAAATCCACGCATAGAACGTGCTAGTATGGATGGTCAACAACGTCTAAGTATTGTTAATGATTCAATTGAAATGCCAATTGGTTTAACACTTGATTTAATACGTCAAGAAATTTATTTTACAGATCACCATTTAAATTTTATTGAAGTTGTTAATTATAATGGTGAAAATCGACGAAAAATCTTAGCTAATTCACATTTTTTACATGGACCAATATCAATAAATGTTTATGAACAATATCTTTATTGGTATGATTCATTTTCAAATGAAGTAAGACGTTTAAATCGTTTTGAACATGGTATAAAAGCACAAAAACACGAAAGAATTTTATCAAGATCAGGAATAATTTCAATGAAAATGTCACATCAAATTTATCAACCATATGGTAAATTATATACAAAAAAAATTATTTTTCAAAAAAAAAAAAGAAATATTTTATTTTATTTTTTTGCTTTAATTAAGAAACAAATCCATGTCAACAACAATCTCGTTGTACGCAATTATGTCTTCTCTCTCATACTGCACCATTAGGTTATACATGTGCATGTTCAACTGGCTATATTCTTGAACAAGATCAAATTACATGTGCAAAAGGTTTTTTTGTTATTAAAAAAATACTTTTTTCTGTGGTTAAAAGATTTTATCTCTTTTAAGATCATTCACCATTTATTATTTATATGAGACGTGATACAATTGGTGGTATTAG